CTGGTGAAATCTGGATACGAACCGTCACCGACCCCTCTGTTAATTCTGGAGAACCTTAACTTTAACCACAAATAACGGAGATAACGTCCGCCCACAGCGGCGGAGCAGCCGTTAAAGGATGGCCAGAAAGCAGACGCGCTACCGGCAAAGGTTCCGACTGCGCTGAAACATCTGTAATGTCGGAATATTTGTTTGTGCCGACGTGAAGAAAGTGCCACGAAATCAACAGAAAACACGACGGTGTGTGGTGTGGTGGCTCTGCGGGTCACCGGCACCCCGGAACACTTAAATCGGACGTTTTTTTAATGGAGTCTGGCGGCGAGAACGGAGCAGCTCGGCGTGTCTTCCCCCGAAACGCGTCTGAATTTCTAGTTTTACGTCATAAACTCGAAAACTTTATAAATGAGCCTCACAGCAGCACCTGTGCCCCCCTCCCGTCCCGCTCACTCACCTGAGAGGAGACCGACACGGAGGACATGGAGGGCGGCGTGAGAAAGAGCTCCGTCCCGGCGGCAGGGCTGCGGTCCCGGAGAGACTGAGGAGGAGCAGAGAGGAGGGCCGACAGAAGAGCACCCGGGGCCCCGCAGACCCCCCCGGGGCCAGGTCACAGTCCCGACCCCACCGAGGCAGCGCGCGCACGAAGGTGAGATCCCGCAGGTCCCGCCCCCCCTGCCGAATGACGTGTCCCATCATGCGTCCCATCACGCATTACCCGCCCGCGGCCAAATGCGCCATTTCAATTACTGCGCACTGCTGGATGGAGACGTGCGCCGCCAGCCTGCGCATGCGAAGAGGAGAGCGCGCGCACCCCAAAGCATTGTCAGCTGCAGAGCGCGCGCAACCCCCACCCGCGGTTTACTTTGATTTTTTTCATATTCCCACAATGTCCTGTAAATACAAGATGACCCACTGGCGCCATCTTGTGGTACAAACTGGATCAGCACTGGAATGACCCTGGACCTGAAACCAGGATGTTCCCGAGGACGACGCTCCGCCCTCCTCCTGATCCACACAGAGTGACCCGAGCGCACGTTCGTGGATCTGTGAGACGTTATTGAAGCTACGATCTGAACTTCATTAACTGTAAAGCTCTGAATTTATTCGGCTTTGGATGAACACATCTGTGAGTCCTCTGACGTTACACACAGAGCGCACACACCTGTAAATGTTTGTTACACCTGGATCATATCGTGCTGGTTTGGCTCCCCTTTGAGCAGTGTTGCCAACTCCTCAGTGAGGAAAATCGCTATTGGCTGTCCTAAAAGTCGCTAGAAGTCGCTAAATGACGTCATCACCTAATTTGCATAATTGGTCATGCTAAT